TGTGATAAGTCCTATATATGGAGTGGTATCTTCCACGATAAAAACCTTGTTTTAGAAAAATCTTTTTTGATAGCACACAAAAATATAGCTTTTTTTTTGAGACAGGATCTTGTGTATTTCAGGCTGAACTTGAACTCATTGTGTAGCTGAGGCTGGCCTTGAATTTGCAGTGATTCTCCTGACTTTTCCTCCCAAGTGCTGAGATTAGGGTCATGTGCTATCACATCAAGCTAAAAATATATATAAATTATTTTCTTTGGTATTATTTTATTATAGAAATGAAGAAAATAGAAAAAGACATTTCCATGAAGTAATAATTTTAGAAACAGAATTTTTTTAAAAACTCAGCCATAGAGTATGTGAGTCCCTAGTATTTGAAAATGGCCACTCAGATCCGTTAGTCCCCAGAAAGGAAAGGTCTGTATATGGCTTTTACTATTTATATAGTGCTTACATATTTGAAAGTCTCATTTTTTTCCTATAGTTTCTGTGTATTTAAGTTTTTAAATTACTAAAACCACCTCACAGGGTAAACAAATAAGAGAAATGATTTCCTTGAGTTGTTTTTTTGTCAATGAAATAGATCTGCTACCAGCCCAGCAAATACCTAATAGCACATCGTAAATTCTTTGCTTTAGGACAGAGCCCCTGATAAAAAGGTCCGTGATTCCACAGATTCCTTCCGGATACAAACTCAGGGAGACTGAAAGTCCCTGCCCAGATAAGAAAAACCAGTTCTGAGAAGTGACTTTTAGGAAATAGTAGAAGAGTATTTAGCAACAGTGTAAATGGCTGAAAATAAAGTTTTACTCTCTCCTTTTTAATTTTCAAAGTCAGTGTCCCCAAAACCATCAATCTACCTGATGACAGTACACTAGCTGCAGGAACTGATACACACTTACGCGAAGGCTGTGAGCTGGAACTCAACAATGCCCTGTTAAAGACATAACTGTGAACAAGACATTTAGATACATTTTGGCTGAAATAACAGTTACTAATCAGTTTAGACTGCTCCGTGAAGCTATCTGTCACAGCAAACCAAACCTGAGTATGCCTTAATAAGCTACTCTTCTGTGTTATACACAATTCTTTTACTTCTGTATGCACATGTAGTACTTGGGATAACTAATCAAATGCATGTGAGTTGTACAGGTTATAAAATGTTGCTTTTTAAAAAACTATACAAATGCCACCAAAAGGGTCCCATCAGAAGCACCCTCAAAGATCACATCTGAGTACATTGCTCTCCAGCGCACAGTCCTAACTGGCGCCTCCAGCCCTGCATGGAGAGGCCCTCCTCACCTCTCTGACCTCTTTCCTGTTGGGTCCTCCTTGGCCATTTCATTGCAGCCTTGCTGCGTCTAGACCACACAAGGCACAACCTCCATGGCTCAGACCTCTGCTGAAATGCCCTCTCGGCAGGCAGGTTTCCCTGACCACCTTGTCCAAATCATCCTCTACAAGCACTACCCCTTGCTCTCCATTCCTTTGCCATGGTTTTTCTTTCTTCAGAGCACCTTTCATGTTATATTATTCACTTATCTTCCAATTTAATGACTTTATCCCTGCATGAGAATGGAAATTTTATGAGGCCAGGGGCTTTATCAGTCCACTGCTCACTGTTGTAGCACCAACAGCTAAGCAGAGAAGGCCCCAATAAATGTTTGTTGGATATAAAAGATAGCATGAAAGAACGACAAAGGACATTCTTTCCCTAATTAGAGTGACTGTTAGGAAACAATAGCATGCAATACCTGTGATAGTTCAGGTGTGCCAATTGCAAGCTAACAGCACAAAGATGAAAGGGAAATAAAGCTAAGACAGCGAAATGTTGAGATTGGAACAGCTTTGCAAACATGATTCCTTGAGGCCCACATCTAGACAGGTGTGAAACAGCCTTGCCAGCTAAGTAATCCTTCAATCACAGACTTGTTTGCAGAAGATAACACAGGGATCCACACAGATTCAGTTATTCATCCAAAACAGACTTCAGGGCTGCAGGCAGTTCAGCTCTGCAAAGTCACCCAGGAACTCAGATTACCTCTGTCATTTTTTTTTTTTTTTTTTGGTGGGGGAGTTGTCTTCTTTTTTTTTGAGACGGGGTCTCATTCTGCAGTTCAGGCTGGCCTTGAGCTCACTTTGTAGCCCAGGCTGGTCTCGAACTCTCAATAGTCCTCCTGCCTCAGCCTCCCAAGTGCTGGGATTACAGGCATGTGCCAGCACTCCGGGCTCTTCTGTCATTTTTGCCGTTCCTGTTTTTCCTTCCGTGGAGTGTTCTCCACACCAGTATCACTTCTACAGGAAAGGGGAAATAAAGGAAAATGGGGACAATTTTTCTTTTATGGAGATGACACAGAAGCATTATATAGCATTTTTGATCAGGGTCAAACTTGGTCATGTAATCATATTTAAATACAAAAAAGATTAGAAAATGAGACTATAGCTGAGTGGCCATGTACTTTGCTAAAATTCTGGGTGGTTGAATTATTCTAGAAGAAGAGGGGAATGGATACAGGGAAACAGTTAGTAGTCTCTATTCAGAAGATTAGTTGAGTGCTGCTTAGGCAAGCCACCATGTTTCAGACACCATTCAAGGCCCTATAATAGATACAAAAACAATCCCCAGGTTTTATGTGTCCTAAAAAAGACACATGTGATAACACAATATGGGCACAAAATGCTATCCAAAAGCTTCAGGGTAGAGGGGCGAGGGAAGGAAAGGTGGACAAAAAGGGAATTAGGGTGTGTTATGTACATGTGCCAGCTTCCCACAAGGGATGTAAACATTATGTACAACACTTGTGTACCAAGAAACTTTTTTTTAAAAAGCCTTCAGGGAAGAAAGAACAGACAGCTTAGAAATAAGGTGACTTTGAAAGACAGGAAGGGATGAGGGAAGAGTGTTTAAAATGAAGCAAAGGGCTGGACCGGAGAAAGCAGAGGACATGTCTAAGAGAAGTGAGCCTCATGGCCTGGCTTTGCTCCACATAAAGACAGGTGTGAGAGAAGAGGCTGAGGACTTCTTTTCCCCTGGTGTGGAAACTAACAGAGGGCTTTGGAGCAGGGCAGTAGATGATCAGAGATGGCCATCCGTGAATACACAGTGAATGGGAGAAGAGAGAGCCTGAGCATGGAGAGACCAGAGAGAATCTCAGTGCTTTCTTATAAGACAACTTTGTGGGAAATAAAAAAAACCTCTGCAATCACCTTGATCAGATACTAAACTGAATTACATATATGAATGTGTCTTTTGGGTACCTGCCAAAGTTAAGGTATGGCCTTCTAACTCTTCTGACCATGTACAAGGGGAAACCGACTTCTTCCCCTCAGTCCATGTTCCCCAATATATTGGGAAACAAAAGTTGTATGAAACAATCCTTCAGGCAAGGCATTCTCTTTGTCTATTCTAGGCTTTTCTTCTTAATTATAGGCTGAGCCTCTAAGTTTGTTCCTTGTTTGAATCACACTTCTTTGGGCACCATGAAGAAGCTGAGAATAACGTGGTATAAGAGATATCCTAGTTTTCTAAAAGAGTGTATCTGTTAAGGGAAAGAAAAATAGGTACAAACACAAATAACCACAAGACAGAATAGGGAAATCATAGAATTTTGGAGCTAAAAGGGACGCAAGCAGCCGTATTCCCTTAACATTATGTGTACTTAGTAGGAATAATGAAGCACAGAAAAACTACCAGTTTCATAGCACAAAGTAAATTCTGAAGATGCAAGACAAACGGGGCCTCTTGGGTAGGTCTAAGTCCCTTCTTATGTAATTAAAATTATTTTTTAAAGCAGGATTATAAAAGTTGTGGTATATATAATTTGTAGCAAACAAATAGTGCTTTTAAGAAAATTGCTATACAGAAGTCCTGTTCATCAGTGCAGTGTTTGTTTAATACTCACTTACAGTCTGTTATCAGGTGTGTGGACTGGTAGTGGGACTGACATGTAAAGTTGTATGGTGAATCCATCAAATCAGTGATCTCAGTAACTGAATATCTATCCTTTGAAGGTACAATAAAAACTATACATTTGACGCCATTAAGTCCCTGAGGAAGAAGTATACTGTCTTCCCCCAGCCCCCAACTACATTCACGAAAAACTGACATTGCTTAATTTTCACTTCTACCCACCCATGCTGAGATATGACTAGCCCCTCAGAAGATTCCGTGCTCTTCTGGAGTGACAGTGTAACCCTGGGTTTTCAGTTTTGTGGGACTATTTAACATCTCAGGTTATGGCTTTGATGTGGCTGTTTGAATAGGTACTGCACCAGATGTTAGAACTACATGCCTTATTGATCTTTTTTCCATATTTTCTCACCTTGACTGTTTTCCACTTACAAAAATATTATGAAGCAAAACTTTTAAGAAGTTACCGATAAACAATGTCACAACTTTGCACTGAATAACCAATGTTAATGTCTCCTACTCTAAGCTCTTTATTTTCCATTTTTTAAGGCATTTCTTAAGAAACCTGTTAAACTAATAACTACTGTATCTTTTCCTGGTAGTTAAGAAAAAAATGATTTTGATAGTCTACAAATTTCAGATAGTCTACAGATTTCACAAGTTTACTAAGAAAATATGGTTATGATATAATTGCAATCAAAATATTCTTATTATTGACTATTTTATTATAAAGAATCACTGTAATCAGTAACAGTCACATTTTGACATTACAATTTTTTGAAAATTACTCTATGGTATTTAACTTTGGTTTAAAAAATTTAAGGACCTATATTACACATACATATGTAGTATAAGCTATTAATGATTTATCATAAAATAGGTAATTTATGACATTTCTTCTTAGGGGCTTTTTTTGCAACATTTTGTTTAGAAATTTATAGATTTTTTCACTACATGTAAGAAAACAAGGTTCTTTACAGTTGCTTTTGGCATTTGTGGTTTGAACAGAACTGTAGTGTGTGTAACAACTAAATGAATTTCACATGAGAGATCCACTCTCACTATCTGCCCTCTCCATTGAAACCCACAGACGTCTTGCTGGAAATGCTTTGACATACATCCCCAAGGGAGCATTCGCTGGCCTTTACAGTCTTAAAGTTCTGTAAGTAAACAAGTGTTATTGCATATATGTCTGATTTTAGTGTCACATTGCTGCTGATTAACTTGAAAAGTATGAGTTCTCTAATAAACTATTTAGTTCCTTTAGATAATTCCTTTCAACCCAAATCTACCTTCATTGAGGCTGTAAAATCATAATATTCTTGGCTAAATTTGCCTATGAAAAAATTCATCTTTCCTTTTCTAACTTTAATATCTAAAATTGTTCACTTCTAAGGGGCTGGGGATTTAGCTCAGCAGCACAGCACCTGCCTGGCAAGCACAAGGTCGTGAGTTCAATTTCTCATACTGGAAAAAAATATAAAAATAAAAATAAAATTGTTCACTTCTAAATAACCACCTTACCAAACTTCTAAGAATATTTCTCTTTTCCTTTAAGTGAGGAAGCTGGGGAGCATGTCTCACATGATTATGATCAGTAATGCTGATTTTGATCACTGCAGTGCAGACATAATGAGACCATAACTTTGTTTCCTTATAATGAACTGAATAAGGACATACTAAAACAAGTTTGTGGGGCTGGGGATTTAGTTCAGTGGCACAGCACCTGCCTGGCAAGCCCAAGGTTGTGAGTTCAATTCCCGGTACTGGAAAAAAAACAAAAAATAAAAAAAAAATAAAACAAGTTTGTGCTCCACCTGCATACAGTTGTAGAAAAGCCTAGTGCATAGCAAATACACTAATTGTTTGATTAAAATGTCAATTTGTTGTGTGAGGTATAAATGTAGGTTTTCTTATTGTTATGGTTTGTGTCTAGATGTCCCCGCAAAGCCTCATGCAGTCATAGAGTGGGCTTCTAGAGTTTATGATTAATCATTGTCCAATGCTGGGATTACCGGTGTGAGTGCTACACTGCCGTGGGGTGGGTAGTTTGCATACAATGTAAGGGAGGGGAAGAGTGTACTCTCTGCCACTCCTCCCTTTTTGCTCTTGCTGCTTTCACTGTCTTCTGCCACCATGAACTGTTGCCCTCTACCATGTGCCACTGTGCCTTGAACCCAGCCAAGTATGGACTGAAATCTCCACAAACTGTCAGCTAAATAAATGTTTTCTTCCTTTAATTCTAGGTGTCAGGTATTTTCGAGAGAAAAGTAACTAAGACACTTATTATTTAATGTTCAACTTCCTGATTCATTCATTAGGAAACTCATAGTATTGATGACCTCTTTCTGGTGCCCATTGCTTAACTTTCTTTCAGTTTGCTCTAAGCAGAAAAAAAATCAATAATGCAAGTTGAAAGTCATTCTATGAAAATTTTACCTCAGGAAAAAAATCCTGATTTTATTTCCTTTCTTTGACATAAGTCATCAATTCTAAAAATAAAAGCATTTGACTTATTCCTGCTTAATGGTAATTGCATTTTAGCAGACTGAGGGAATATAAGTTTTTTTAAAAAGCTAAATTCAGTTTAATAATTTGCAAAAAGCTAAATTCAATGGCAGAACCATTGTTTGGCCTGCCCAGGTGTTTGGGTTTGGTTTCCTTTCTCTTGTTTGGATGAATTTTTTTTTTTTTTTTTCTGTACCAGGAATCAAACTCAGGATCCTGTGCTTGCTAGGCAGGCACTTGTGCTGCTGAACTATATTCCCAGCCCCTGGATCCATTTTCTTCTATGCAGAAATATTTTTATGTCACCATAGTGTCAAACCCTAAAGTTTATTCCTTATGTAGTAAAATTCTGAATTGTAGTACCAGGTCCAGTGCACCTACATCTTCACCAGCCCAGCGAAATATCTGTAACCATTTGAAATTCATCACAATAGCCAAGTTTACAGAAGCCATCTAAAGTGATGTTTCCTTCCATCAAACTATATACCATGAAGTGTCTTGATGCTTATTAAATAAACTGTACTATAGTCAATTATTTTAATTCACTTAACAAAATGATCCCTGGGTGAGCACATGTGTATCTATCAGTGGATATCCAGCCATTGCAATTTTATTTAAAATTCAAATATATAATATTAATGCATATAAGTATTATATGAATTACATAAACTAATATAATTACATAGAAATGTAATTTTAAATCTTTAAATTCTCATGATTGAATTACTCAAGTTTTGCATGATTTTTTTCCATCACTACATTTTTTTTTTTTTTTTTTGGTGCCAGGAATCAAACTCAAGACCTTGCACTTGCCAGGCAGGCACTGTGCCACTGAGCTACATCGCTGGCCCAATCACTACATTTTTAAACTTTCCATTATATACTTCTAATTGCACTATGTTTCTATTGACTATTTCCCACAATACCTTAAAGGTCCTTGAAACTAAGATATCATCTGTCTTGGTCATTAGTATATCCCCAGCTTCTCGAACAGTGCCTCACTTATGGCAGGCACTCAATAAATAACTGTGGAATAGATGTTTCAGATTTACAATACAGAGAAAACAAGAGAGCTCCAGACTCAATATTTTCTTAATTTTGTATATTAGCCCAATGCTCTATGTTCATTAGTGTACTATCATATGCTATACAAAAAATATGCTTTCACATCTGATAGAGATTTCTACCTAAAAACAAGTATTATTTACTCATAATGCTCTGTACATACTTTGCTATGTCCTGTGGTGCCTTTTGCCTGAAATTCTAGAAAGTCCTCGCTTAATGACTGAAAATGGAAAAGCACAGGTGCCATGGATTGCATGTAGTTTGAGCTTGTCCCCCAGAAGTTCATGTTCTAGAAGCCTCGTTCTAGTGAGGAGCTGTTGAGAAGGTGGACCCTTTAAGAGCTGGGCCTGGTGGAAGGACACTTCATCTTTGGGAGCACCAATCTCAGAAGGGAATAATGTATTTGTCACCAGGACTCTGTATTGGCCACTCTCCTGTTCCTGGGAAAAAATATCCAAGACCCACAATTTAAGAAGAAGAGGTTTGTTTTGGCTCACAGTTTTCAGAGGATTTGGGGCAAGGTTGGCTGGCTCCAATCAGAATGGTACCATGGAAAGACATGGCAAAGGAATACTGCTCACCCTGCGGCAGCCAGGAAACAGAGAGAGGGAGACAGGAGGAGTTGGGGACCAAATCTACCCTCTAGCTCACCCCTGGTGATCCAAACAGGCCCCACGTCCTAAGAGCAAGTCAGCTATAGACCCCACGGTAGAGTCACCTTCAAACATGAGACATGTGGGGAACGTTTTAGATCTAAACAATCACACTCTGGTTAGATTTGGAGAGAGAAAATTGTTATACAAAGAGCACGCCTGGTCCCAGGAAATCGCTTTCATTTCCTGTCTCACTGTGACTGCTCTTGCACATAACCACTCCTGCCACTGTGGTGCCACCCTTCCTGATGCCTCAGAGGCTTGTGAGACACCAGCTCTTGGGCTCTCAATGCCCCCCCAAACTGTGAGCTTTTTCTTTATAAAGTTCCCAGCCTCAGATATTTTGCTAGAGTTACAGAAAACAGGCTAAGAAAATAGGTTTTTTTCTCAAGCTTACCATGTAAACGTGCCTTTTCACCAGGAAAAAAAAAATGAAATGTGGTACTAGATGCTTTTTTATCCATCCCTAGGTAATCAATGTTTCTCATCCTTCTTACAGTCAGAGAGTAGCCTGCTTGGCGCAGTGGGTCGTGATCAGTCTCATACACAGTCAGAGATTCAGCAAAGCCAGTTAGTGTACATTAAACAAATTATTTCTGGAAATACAAAGATCCATAAATACTGAGACAGATTGTGGGATCAAGATAGGGGAAGCCAGTCAGTCTTATAGATCATCTCTGGTTTTTAGGGAAATTATGTCTAGAAATGTGTGCAACACACTATGGAACTCAGAGACTGATAGCATTTAGTGCAGTCCTCAGACTTGGCTAAGTTCTTGGTTCAGACTTGGCTTCCTAGGAGAGAGGACTTTTTCAGAGAGATAATGACCCAGAAGTTGAACTGTGAAGCACAACCTGGAATTAGCCACCCAAATAGGGTGACGGACTAAGGGGACAGTATACCCAAAGGCAGAGGGGCAAAAAAGACCAGAGGCAAAGAGAAGTTCCAAGAGGCTTATTATGCCAGCATTCAGGAGATAAGATGAGCAAATTTAAAGAAAAACTTGCAGAAACAAAAAGGGATCCTGGTTACAGGGATCCCATATATCATATAAAAAAAAAAAGGACGTTATTGTGTTTAAGCATGGCAAGGAGCCAGGGAACAAGATGTAAGGAAAGAAATGTTCAGAGGACATGTTCAGACTGCACTTCAGCTAGATCACGTCAGAATGAGGAGGGTTCAGAGGAACAAGACGCTACTGGGAACTGTGTTCTCTCTTTTAGATGCTGTCTTAAAGACTGATATTTAATGAATGGACTTAAATTATGAAATATCAGAACATCGTGACAGGGAGCTCATGGTACAGCAACGCTGCTCACCTCATGGTATCAGGGAAGAAAGGAAAGGAATGAGAGGGGAAGGGAGGGAGGAAGGGAGAGGCAGGGAGAGGAAGCGAGGGGCGAGAGTCCCATTATCCTAATTAAAAGCACATCCTCAAAATTTAAAACTACATATTCGGGCATTAGAGCAATGGTTTTCAACTATGGTGGTTCTGCTTGCTACACAGTGTGTTGAGAAGTCTCTGGGGGCATTTCTGGGGTCTAGATGGCTGACACATCATAAACTGCATGCGATGTGCTACATAACCCCGGTTAGAGAGAATTCTCCCCCATCCTACTTGACTTCTGACTGCCCCTCCACACCTGATATAAATCAATGGTACTTCAGTGCATAATTGTACTAACAGGGTTTACAAGAACTTTTCCGTAAGCCTAATAATTTATATGGGGAAGATTAAATAGAATAAATATATTCTCTCAGTAATTGAATAATTTACTGAATATGTTCACCTCTCCTGTTCTTGATACTGTAAGGTTTAGTTTAAAATAGTGTTAGTGCTATAGAATTACCACAAAAGCCACAAAACAAAGTAAATATATATAAGCAAAGTTGCTTTGAAATATGTATCATTAAATAAAGAGAAAAACAAGAAACACAGGGATTTAAATGAATTTCACCAGCAAAGTTTGCTTTATAAATATTTCATATTGCTGCCTTTTAAAATATTTGGGGTGGGCCAGGGACATAGCTCAGTGGCACAAGTGCCTGCCTAGCAAGCACAAGGTCCTGAGTTCAATTCCCAGCACCACAAAGAAAAAAAAAGTTATGGAGTAGAGATTTAGTGACCACTGGCCTAATTCTTAGGTGTTCTCTCCACTTAATTGTCCTTTGTAAAGATGTCAGATAACTATGAGGGCCTGCCTGGGAGTGGGGGAATTCCGGCTACTTGTGACTCTTCTATGTTTTTCTTTTTTTAACCTAACACCTTCATGTCGCTTTGGTCTTGGTGCTGAACGGCAGGAGGATGAGCCATTCCTTGACTAAATGGTTTACATAAGAAAATAAACCTTTATGGAAGACTGGCTGGTTCAGAATTTTATTGGATTGACAGTTTTGTGATACAGAACCAATAACTTTTTTTTTATGAAGTCCAGTTGTTATAGGGGTAACTGTTATGCTTTGGATCTGCAGTGACCCCCACAGTCTAATGTGTTGAAGGCTTAGTCACCAGCCCGTGGTGCTGCAGGAGGTGGCGGAATCTTTCAGAGGTGGAACCTGGTGGAAGGAAGCTGTCACAGGGGATGTGCTTTTGAATTGGATATTGGGACTCTCACCGCTCACTGCCTCTCCCTGCTTCTCCCTTTTCCCTCCCTTCCCCTCTCATTCCTTCCCTTTCTTCTCTGACACCATGAGGTGAACAGCTTTGCTCTACCATGAGCTCCCTGCCATGATGCTCTCTGCCTTGCTACAGAGAGAATACCTAAGAATTAGGCCGATGGTCACTAAATCTCTACTCCATAACTTATTTCCTCTCCCTCTTTTTCACTGTACTTGTTCTTATTTAGTCCTGTTGGCAAAAGAGACAGAGAGAGAGAAAGGGATTTAAAATTGTACAGGTAGAGAAGCATAGGAAACTCTATTTTACTGTTATTTTTATTTTCTCCCCTTTAAAATAAAAGTTTTTAAATATTTTTAAAATAAAAATAAAGAATGTAAAGGAATGTTGTATGAAACAGTAAATATTTTAAAGAAATTAATTAAGTATGAAGTCATCCTTTGCCTCTAGATAAAGCAGTTTATTTCTTTTTCTTATTCATATGAGAAAGATAAAAGTGAAGTTACATGCCTACGCCCATATTCAGGATAGAGTACATTCTGCCTGCGTTTTCTGTATTCATTAATGGGTATTTGCAAAAGAAATTAGCAGCCATGTGAATGCTTTCTGTTTTAATTGCACTCTGTAGCACTATAAATCCTTTAATTGTGTTGTCTCCAACTGAAGTATCTCAAACAAAAACAGAATTTTCTAATTAACTCACTGGAGACTTATAAGAGTATAATGGAGATAACTTGCTCTTGTTTAGTCATTTAAAAGTAATTAAACAAAAGTTCTTTGTTTAGAAAGAGATCAGGTTTCAATATATATTTTAAAAGTTACATTTTTGGTATTTTACTCGTACCAGGGGTTGAAAACTTAAGTCACGGGGGTGTAGCTTGAACGGGGTAGCTTTAAAAGTTATCATTATTAAAGCTCATTTAAGTACTATTTTCTAAAGAAAGGTATACAAAGCAACTGAGAAAGTTTGCAGCTATTCAGTAAAGGAAAGCTATTTGAATATCTCTTATCCTCTACTCCAATTTTCTAAATATCTTGTAAAAACCACATTTTAAAAGTTTCAATGTTTACTTAGCAAAACATAAGACAATTTGATACATACTTTGTGTCTGTAAAATATTACCTATAAAGTTTAGACTTCAGTTAATTTCATTAGCTATATCTTATCATCTAAAATTATCACAAAATTACTCAGAAAAAGGTTTTCTTAACTTAAAATTAGATAACCAAACTGCTTCAAAAAGTGCAAGAAATATAAACTTTTACTATTCAGTTAAATTTTGCAAATTATGGAATTCAAATTTCAATTTTCTTTTATTTTCAAGTTGTAATTTCCTTAATTCCCTAATTGGCAAGAGCAGTGTGAGATGTCTTTGAAACTTAATTTTATTCATAATGAACAAATACACTTGAGACATTTGATTTATGAAATTTTAGTTGAATTCAAATTTAACATAATGAAATTAGTTAAGTAAAACCATTGGAATACAAATGACAGATATGTTCCTTAGAAAATAGAATCTCTAACATAAGAAAAACATAAATTTCATGATCTCCAAATATTTTTCATGTGTAATTGGTATATAAGCCCATTTATATATGTGAAAGTATCATAGATACATTCATATTTTAATCTTCAAACATCTTTTCACGATGTACTTTTTTTTGTTTTTTTGAGACAGGGTCTCACTATGCAGTTCAGGCTGGCCTTGAGCTTACTTTGCAGCCCCAGCTGGCCTCGAACTCACAACGATCCTCCTGCCTCAGCCTCCCAAGTGCTGGAATTACAGCGTGCACCACCACGCCCAGCCCATAATGTATTAATCCCATTATTCAGATAAAAGACTAAGAGGGGAGTTAAATGGGTTTGCATGTCAAGACTCGAAGCTTAGTCCTATCACCACGTCCAAATATGGCCTTAGTTCAGGTGAAAACGTTAACAGAACATAGCACAAGCATTGCTCAGGGTGTGGTGCCCAGCTCAGCCTCACTAGCATCATATAAGGACTTAGAAGTTCACATTCTTGGGCCCCCACCCAAAAAGATCAGAGTGTGGGAGATAAAGCCCAGAAATCTATATTTTAACAAAATTTCCAATGGATTCTAATAGACTCTAAAGTTTGAGAACAAGTGTTACAGAGTTTTATTTTTCTCTGATTCAATTAAAATGTTACATCCAGAGCAGTTTCACTGTGTCATAGGTTTGTTTGTGTTTTGGGGAGGAGGGAGTTTGGTTTTTGTTTGTTTGCAGGACTGGGCCTGTAACAGGACTTTGCACATGGGAATCCTCCACAACTCATCTACATTCCCTATGTCATCAATTTTGAGTAAGGGTTTATTAAGGTATATAAAAAAGACCAGCCATTATTGAAGGTTTACTGTGTGTACTTTCACTCCATGACACATCAAATAAGCCCTGTGAGATGGGTCTCCCTACTCTTCACTGAGGCAGGGAGAGCTCTGATGATTTCCCTGAGGCTCTAGGAGACTAATTGCGGTGTATCAGTTACTTTCTTGCGGAGACACAGCACCTGACACCCACAGCTCTAAGGAGGAAGGGTTTGGCTCATAGTGTACAGAGGGTGCAGTCCATAGTCAGCTGATTCTGTGGCAGAAGGGCATGACAGAGGAGAAAGAGCTCATGGCCTGCTGGCAGGAAGCAGAGAGAGCCATCAAAAGAGAAGGAGAGAGACAGACCCTTCCAGGCCACACCCTCACCCTGTTACCCACCTCCTCCCACCAGGCTTTGCCTCAAAAATCACACATAGCTATAAATTCATCAGTGGACCCCTCATGATCCAATAACCTCCAAAAAGCTCCACCATGAGTGCATGAGGCTTTGGGGGGAAATCTATATATAAACCATAGCAGGTAAGGGACAGGAAGAAGTGGGATTTGAGAACCCATGCACTTAGACATTCCATACACTATAGGACCTGAGGATTCATGCATTCAGCAAGTATTCATTAAGAGAACACTGGAGAGTGCAATGGGAAATGCATCAAGCTATGGAGTTAGACATACCTGGAGCTGAATCAACCAGTCACTCAATAAAAATACATTTCAATTGTAAGTGAGAGACTAGGCAAATTGTTTCTGGAATCCAAATGTATGCTTGTGACCTAGTGAGTTGAAATAGTTCTTTAAAGTTTGTTTTCCTGAAATAGTCTTCTGCCTCAGGCTTACATGGAACATGAACTACTAAAGAAAAAAATATGCTGCAAGATTATTATGTTATAAAAGCTTATTAAAAAGGTAGCAAAATGTGAGAAATCTAATTGGAATTTTTCCATGCTATTTTCCCACTAGCAATGATATATTTTTCTTTCATTGTTGCCAGGTGTTTTCATTCTGTAGTATCCATGTTCTGAAAACACTTTTCCATGTAGGAGAGCAAAGGCACAAATATTTTACCAAAAAAAATATTGAGTTTATATCAAAATATGTCATGCACAAGAAGAGAAAGGTCTTTAATAGCCTCCTCCTACTCTTACCCTTATTTGCATTTTATTTTATGTACACAACCACCATAGTGAACCTTTAAAATATATAAAAGATAAATAATAGGAAGTAGGGAGAAAGATTTTTCCCAAATGGGAAGGTGATCAAGAGATGGAGGGAAAGGAGATGAAAGAATTAAGGTGTGTTATGCACATGTACCAATGCCCCACAAGGAATGGAATCATTATGTTCTGCAAATATGTACTAATAAAAAATAAAAACTGGAAAAAATACGTAAGTCCAAATCATTTCTCCAATTAAATGTCTCAATAGATGTTTCTCATTGCACTTAAAATAAAGTTTATGATTGCCTGTAATGGAACTAGCCCCAGGTCCTCTCACTTTGTCTAACCCTCTTGCCCTTACTGCTTCTTCCTTGACCCTTATTGATCCTTTGCTGCTCCTTTACAAGGCAAGCAAGTTATAACCTCAGGCCCTTTGAACTTGCTCTTTCCAGATGTTCATGTGGTTTGCTCCCTGACTGGTCTCTACTCAAACATAGTCTCCTCAGAGTAACCTTCCCTGAACCACCTTTAACAAAAGAATTTTACCCCATTACTGTCTATCCCAAACCTATGCTTTTCCTTTTATCCTTAGGGTGTTCACTTGTCTCCTGTTATGTATTCATTCATTTATTTTTAATTATCTGCACTCCCCAAGGGAGGACAAGCTCCCCAGGAGCCAAGACTTTGACACTGTGCAACTTCTCTTATATCTGAACAACGCACGGCACTGTGATATAATAGTTATTGTTAATTGTGGTTAATTTTCTTTAACATTTTATTTGTTTTAATATTCAGTATGCTGCAGAATAACCAGCTGAGACAGGTACCCACAGAAGCTCTGCAGAATTTGCGAAGCCTTCAATCCCTGTAAGTACTGCTGAACCCGCAAAACATTCACGTTTGATTTGGGCAGAACGTGGAAGTGTCTGGCTGATTATTTCACTTGTCAGTTGGTTCACGGTCACACCTAACAAACTGTGAGAATCCATTACAGCATCAGTTCCTCATGTTCTCATTGATCACTAGACGTGAGGGGACCCAGCACTGGAGTTTGAGGTTTGGGGGCAGAGATTCAATTACAGCACCTGCAATCAAAGCCTCATACATGTATTGTTGTCTCAAGGCTAAATATCACTGCCCCAATTTGTCCAGCATTCCCCTGAATATTTTTGTTTCTGAATTCAGTTGACAAGTAGTACTTTTCACCTAGAAAAATGGACATCACATCTAGATATCTTTGTATTTTAAATTTATTTCTTTTGTTTTTAAGTTATCAGAGCTGGTTTGTGATCAAATTTTGCCGAGTCAAATAAAGACTGAATATTTTACATTTTGCATATGCATTAGGGATCTTCAAATCAGGAAACTAAGACCTTTTGGCATGTCCTGAAGCACTTCTGCTGAGCAGTTCTACAAACCAAGAGCTTCCCCATTACCTGACCAAGTCATACAGTCACAAATAATCTCCACAGTCCTCATTTAACTGAAATTCACATACCGCATTACACACACACACACACACACACACACACACAATATTCCATATGGTCCGATGTCCCCTACTTTGAACCCAGGCCTTTTTCAAAGATTTCCATCCCACCCCAAACACACTGGTTATAATCACTGAGAAAATAAAAATAAATTATTCCTCACAAAAAGATCATTCCTGGCAGCTAGATGTTTTGGAACTTTGATTGTGAGCAATTGTTTTTGGTGATTACTTGGCAGGTCTATGCTACAGCTATTCTGTCAGGAAATCGCCTCATCAGAATGCATGTGTTTAAAACATATTGCGTGGGGCTGGGGATTTAGCTCAGCGGCAAAAGCACCTGCCTGGCAAGTGCAAAGTCGTGAGTTCGGTTCCCGGTACCGGAGAAAAGCCAAAAAAAATTAAAAAATAAAAAAAAAAAAACATATTGCGTGATTCCTGATATATATAAGGGAAGTATATGCTCTAATATTACTCACACTTGAGGTTATTGTCAGTCAAACAAAATATTGCTTCCTGGTCTTGAATGCTCAGGGAGATAAACGCATTTTTAAAAGGTAAATAAACATTGCGGATTGTAGTTGAAAATCTCCATAAAGAATACATGAGTTAAAAAAAAAAAAAAAAGAAGAAGAAACCATCGGTTAAGAATTCTATACAATTTGCTTAATGCTTTTCACTGGGGTTATTCAAGAGAAGAGGGAACATGAGATTTGGAGATGATACTTTCATCCTTTGATTTTTTTTTTTTAATGAAAGGAAATCTGTGCTTGAGATCATTTAAAGCTTTTTTACTCTGGTCAAACAAAGTGACTTCCTAGGTTTTCAGCAGTCTATAGACAAACAGCCCACAAGAGCCCTTTTGTGGCATGGGATGGGCCTGTTGCATTTCCAGGAGCTCCTTCATGACATGACAATATCACTCCCTAAAGGCTTTTCAAAAAGGCCTTTACCTGAAGGCTGAAGAGATCTCTTTTGTTGAAAAAGCCTGTACCTGAAGGAAAGAAGCAGCAGCGGAGAAGTAAAATAGCCTCAAGTTGGGTTGTCTGTAAGGGCACAGGGATCTAGTGGCTAAATAGAAATTGAGATAATGGCAGTGGCCAACAAGAACTTTAAACAGCTGGGAGGCGGGCAGGAGATGGAAGGATAAGAGTTTGTAACCAAAGCCTCTACCAGCTAAAGAAGATCACAAACAGAAGTGAACTCTTTGAGAAAGAGAAACCATGAATCTTTTGTTCACTTGAATTGGGTGATACTCTGATAAAAGTGTTCAGATTTAGTTTCTTGCAGTCTAGATATTTACTGTTCACCAGGTGTTTCCTGCATTTGGTTTCTGGTTCACAAAAAGAATTGTGTTTTGAAACCTTGTAAGTATATAAAGATACATATATAAATGTGTGTTCCCCATGAAAAGCGTCAGGCGTTCATTGTCTAGTATGACACTTACCACATCCAAACTGAAACATCCAGAGACTCCCAGCCTCCAGATGACACCGGATTGTCCAAGAAGGTTATGTAATGTTTGTCAGGGTTTCCTTTGTCCAGAGCACACAAAACCAGTTTGAGGTAGGAGGTGCTGGTAATATGTGCTGGTGTGCCACTTTTTCTCACTGATATTTTTATACCACTTTGATACAGGAATTAAGACATCAAAGAGCATTATAGTCTGAAGATACATTCATTTTCCTATAGGTGACTCACATGTACCTATCTTTATAGCGGAGTAGCTCTCCATTGTGTATAAAGCCACTTTTTAATTTATCCATTCATCTGTTGATGATAAATTTGAGTCATTTTTAGGAAAATGGATGCACCTTGAGACTACAGTGTTAAGTGAAATAAACCAGACACACAAGCTTAAATATCCGTGGTTTCTCTTATATGAGAAACCCAAAGTATAAATAAAAAGCAAAATAAAAGATAGATAAAAGGAAACAAGAAGATAGATCTTTTGCAAATGATAAGGGGACCAACAGAGATAGAAGGAAGGGAAAGGAAAGAAAGAGGAAGGGGAGGTGAAAGGAATTACAATGCATTATGCATGTATACCAATTCCCCATGAAGAATGTAATCATTATTTACTGCAAATGTGTACTAATAAAAATAAATTTAAAAAAATAAAAAATGTTTAAACTATTATAAACATAGGCTTAAGTACAAGTCCTGCAGGCTCTGCATGCCAACTGAGGATGCCTTCTACGCTACGCACACAGCAAGCTAGTTTTGGAGGTTTGAGACACAGTAAGCCCCTTTAAAGTTTCACTGTTATTTCAGGTTTCATTGTATTTTTCCTGCTTCCTTTAAGCAGATCCAAAAGAAAAACACTAGTTTTGAATTTAACGGTTATCACAAACATGTATTCATCGGGAAAGCCAGCATGACAAGTTCCTCCAACAGAACCAACAGCTCTTCACAGCTTCTACCAGCTCCCAACAGCCTTTCTCCACTCCCAACAGCCTCCCTTCTTCTTCTCCAGGTCTGCCTCTTATGCTGCTGGTAATAATCCTCCAGTGGGCCTCCCACAGCCAGCACCACACTTACTCAGTTCAGCTGAGGGTTATAAGTTGACCACCAGTTATCAATCCACTGCATATATCCATTTTCCATTAATATTCCAGGCTCTCGTTTACCCTTTGTGCTACGTCTGCATGAGTAAAGGTAATGACAAGGGTAATGTCAATTTCTTCCACACATCCGATACCTAAGAAGCCTCTGTTCACCCTCCTTCCTCATCCTGAATGAGAGTCAACACTTAGATTGTCACTTAGCCTTTCCACTGCAGAATTCCTCTCTTTTTCCATTTTCTTGAATTCCCTCTATTTTTTCCTTGCATTATATATTTACCCTGTAAGCAGCACTCTGCGCTTGCCAGGGTCTATATGCTCAGTACCCCCATACATGGCTGGCCCTGTACCTTTCTGCAGGGGTGCTTCTCAATGTTGGCTGAAGCATCTGCAACATCTGGAAAGTCTCAAAACTTCAGCTGCACCCCAAAACTATTACAATCAGCATTGCTGAGGATGGGGCCCAAGTATTGGTGTTTTCTAACTGGCTTTACTGTGTAGATATATGTGTTTCTTAAAGTGAAGATTAGGAAACTGGTGACTTGCAGCATTCTCTACAATCTATTCTCCTGAATGTTTTTCAGACCTGAAATAATAGCAAAATCCATACTTTGCCTAAGCTAGTAATATACTTAGTAGATACAGTCAGGCATTGCCTTGTTTGTTTTTAATTGAAAACAGCTCCAGGGGCTGGGGATTTAGCTCAGTGGCAAAAGCGCCTGCCTGGCAAGCGCAAGGTCGTGAGTTCGGTTCCCAGTACCGGAGAAAAACCAAAAAAAAAAAAAAAAGAAAACAGCTCCCATCTGCCCATTAATACTACTGATTATCTAGGGAAGATAAAGAGGTCACATGCTACCTTATGGTGCTGTTCAAATCTTGTCTGTGGACCAATCACATCAGTACCACCTGACCTATACAGCACCTGGGATTCAGGTTGGTCTGTCTTAATAAAAATCTTCATTTTAACAAAATCCTAAGTGATTTGAATGCAAAAATGCATTTACAAAATTAAAGTTTTAGGGTTATGTTGCACTAACCAGTTGGTCAGAAACTAAAAATGGAGAACTGCTGAAATAGGTCACTTGCATCCTTTACTGCACGCATGTGGACTTTGCTTCATTGAATGAATTTTAAGAAACTTGAATCGTTACAATTGGTAACATTGCTGTGAGGAAGAGACCGATTGTACTCAAGTTCCAAAGAATTAATTTTCCATTGATTCCATGTAAAGAAAAAATGTGCATAGTGAAAATACCTAGGTAAATTTGTGTTTTTTTAACTCTCTCCTGATGCTTACATGACGCTTATGAATTGCTAAAGAATAGAGGTACAGGCGCACGTGCCGGCACCCAGCAGCCCAGAGCCTGCCCCTGTACAACGTGTACACTTGGCTTCTGACATGCCAGTGACTGCCCACACACCAATTGGGTATTTTGTAATGTAATCAAATGTAACCTAATTTCCTTTCTGTTTTTGGATGGGAATGAGGAATGTAATCAGAATTCACAGAGAATTATATTACACCAAGAAACTTTTGGCATTGTAGACATTTGAGGACTAGGGTCAGATTACAGTGATTTGATGGAAACTCAAAACTTAACCCTCCCATACCCTCTGACCCTTGTATTAAGAGTTAGAAAAAATCAATCTATGAAAAATAACTGCCTGACATGTGATGGTCATTAATAAATTCCAAGCATCTCACTGTCATGTGTGAAGTTCAACAGAATTACACATTCATGTTTGTCCAATTAACCAAAGTGTTATTGGTTTTCATTCCAAGCGTGCACTAGCAAAGCTAATTGTGGAATATG